CAGTCATCACATTCAGCCTCCCATCTAAGCTGTTTGAGACTTGCATTGTCATTGTTAGCCATAGCATTCATGCGAATGTTATCACATTTGGAGCCCATATTTTCATCCAGTAGGTAGCCAAACTCTTCAGCAGATACAAATAGGCTGGAGTCATTGAGGTTTCCTTTTTCTTTCCCCCCCTCGGTCCTTGAAATGACTCAGCAAAATCAAAATCATCTGCATCTTTTCTCTTGCTTCTCTTAGTACTGACTTAGGAGCTGACTTTTTCAAATTTTCTCTCCTTTTTTTTTTTTTTTTTTTTAACCCTGGAGTATTTACTCTTTTTTGTATTTAGTCTAAATTTTCCTAAATTCTGAAGATGCAATCACTTAGCCCTCCCTTCCATCCACTTTCTTAATTTTAGGCAAGAACATGAAAATAATGGTGCTTATGTCTTTGTAATGACAGAACTTCCTTTGTCTTTTCTTTAGACTCATTTTAATCTCCAATGACTCATATTTAAGAAATGAACTATGCAGCTGTGGTAAAGCTAAGTCTTTGGCAAGAACTCGAGGGGCAAACAAGTGGTCGCTCACAATGGATGATCCTTAGCCTTGAATTGTTCACTGTTCAATTTTAAACAATTGAGTTGCATCATCAAATAGTGTCTTAGCCATTTCAAGTTTGATGAGCCCTTTAAGATTCATTTTCTTATTTTACATACCAGATCTTACTCTAACAATTATCTTCACCTTTTTCCTATCCATGTCTTTAACATGTTTTTCTCTACTAGGGTGACCAACTCTCCTGGTATGCTTGGAACTGGCCTGGTTTTTAGCACTGGGAGTCCTGCAGCTTGCAGCTTGTCAAACTCAGTGATGGGTAGATCAAAATGGTTGGTTATCCTGTTGCTACCTTCCATCTTTCAGTCTACATTCAAATCATTTCTCCCCTTAAACAGAACGTCTCTTTCATTGATCTTGTTATTCTCTTTATTGTCACTGTCCCTTTCTCCTCTTGGAACAAATAAAGATATTAAACAAATAGTTTTCACTTGAAATACCTACTTCTTCTCCACTCACTCCTTGATTAAGCCTACTTCTGAGGCTACTGTCCTGTGATGTAATTGCTCTCACCAAGTCCGATCAGCACACTTTTCAGTCCTGATCTTGCCTTACCTTTGGTGATCAATATTGGATGGTCTTGGTTTTCTTTTTCCTTTGGAAATTCTCACTCTGTCTTGGACAGTACTGTACTCCTTATTTGCCCTAATTTCTCTGCCTATCCATTTCTTTTTGGTCTCTTGTGGGATTCCATCTTTGCCCACTAAGTGTTGATATATAAACACTTGATATATATGAGCCAAATTGGGGGAGGGTGACACTCTTCAATCTCCTTTTCTTCTCCCCAGGTATCAGGCTTTACTATTTCTTTGTGGAAGGAATATTACCTTGCCAAACTGAGCATATCACACACTCTTACTCTGTTCTCCATACAGAACCACTTTCCCATCTTAGTCTTGGACTTTCAATATTAATCTTGATTAATTTTAGCCTGAATGCACACACAAAGTATTCTGGATCAGAGACAAATTTCTTTTAATTACCTTATTGTATAATATTGTTTCTGCACCTTTTCCCTTTGCTCTAAGTCTTCCCTAGGGTGACATGATGAATGCTGATGAAACATTTCTCTATATGAGAAGCTGGGTTTTCCATAGGCTAGAGATAAGAAAAGTGTGTTTTTCTAACTGTTTATAAAGAAGAAGTAGGGTTGGCCTTGTAGCGCAGTGGTTAAGCACTGTGCATAAGGAGCTGGATCCCACGTGATCAACCACAGTTCAAATCCCAGTCTTCAAACCTTGAAAACCATGCAGGGCATATATTCATATATGCCCAGAATCCTAACAGGATGGAGAAATGAGAGAAAAAGCATTGTGAAGTCACTGTGGAGTGACTCCCATTAGGGAGTGCTCTCTCTGCCTCCTGAGCGCACAAACCCTCTGGTGGTTAAAACAAACAAGCAAATGAAGTAGACAACTGTCCCACTTTCTTCTCAAAAGGCTGACTTTGAAACATAATGAGCCTGAGTCCTATCTCCTGCTTCTCCAGGAGCCAGCAAGAATTATGTGTCTCAGGTTTTACAGTATAGATATGTATTCATGATCTGGGCTTCATAATTTTTTGAAATGTAAATACTGAGAGACCTAGCTACTCCAGTGTTTCTGACAATTTGGAGCCAAAGAACCAACTCTGTGCTATAAGCATTTGGCTTTCTTGATTTGGAGAAATTAACTAAACTAATAGCTACAAATCTGATTCTCATTTCTCATGGTATCGTAAGGTTCTCTAGTGCCTAGAGCGTTTTATAGATAAGCCAAAAAATACAAGAACATTTCTTTCTCTCTCTCTCTCTCTCTCTCTCTCTCTCTCTCTTTTTTTGGAGAGGTTTTTGTTATAGGGTGAGTGCACTCGCCAGACAGAGTGAGACGGAGAGATAGAAAGAGAGAAATCACCCCTCAGGGGGATGGCCACGCTGTAATCCCTTCTCCTCCATTCTCCTCTCAGGATCTTGGGCATGCACGCACAAGCACCCGGCGTGAGTTTTAAGCCACTGGGTCCCGGCCGTGAACCGCGGTCGACTACATGGGAGTCCAGCGACATAGCCATTATGCTAACTGCTGGTCCCTTTCTCTACACTTAGTATAGTTGTACCCAGCATTTACTCATCTACTGAATCTAAAAAATAAAGGTCTTCCTGGCGTAAAACTCATGCCAAGCACATGTGTGCATGCCCAAAATCTCAAGAGGAGAAGGGATTGCAGTGGCCATCCCCCCTGGGGGGGTGATTTCTCATTTCTGTCTCTGTGGCTCTGTGCCTCTGTGCCTCCTGTGAGCATACACTCCCTATACCAAAAACCTCCCTTAAAAGTTTTTTAAACAAAAGAAAAGAAAGACTGAACTTCAAATTTTGGCTTACAGGTGTAATATAATTCCAGATAATGACAGTGTCCTGCTTCATCTCCTTGTTCTTCAAATTCTAGAAACATTAACCTGTTTGAATACCTATAGATGGATAGTGTATTATGTCATATGTCTCTGTGCTTGGATTTTTTCCTTTTGGAATGCCTTCCAACCCACTCTTAACTACTAACGCAAGTTCATGCTGTAGAATTCTACATGAGGACTGTTTCTGAAAGTCTTTTCCTATTACTTTTTCTGTATTGTACAAGCCTATGACACTTTTCACATTGCATTAAAATGATTTATGTGTTCAACACTTCCATTATACACTCCAGGTTTCTAAATAGGAGGGACTGTTTTGCCTTCAACTTTGAATTTCCAGCCTCTAGTACAACCACTGACACACAGCCATTTAATAAAGGTAGCTATCATTATTTTTATCATTAGTTATTTCAGTGTAAGTTGTCCCCTGTCAAGTCCAAATGGAGAGACTAGGCAAAATGATAATTTGCTTGAAGAATGGAAAATTAAATATATGAAAAATACAGTAATATGATAACTTTATGCACACATGCATGCATGCACATACAGAGAGAGAGAGAGAAAGAGAGAGAGTGAGAGAGCAAGTGAGAGAAAGAGATTTTGAATAAAATAGAAGAAAAATCAGCCTTACATTTAAGGAAAGTAAATAACCTTCCCACCCATTAGATTTCAAGGCTACAGGAATATCCTACTCTACAGAAATAACTTCCCTATCAACAAGTTAAATACTAATATTTCACTTATAGAATTCCATTATTTTGGTTCAAATGCTTTGCCTCTCTCTGCTGAATTATGAACAACCATGAATGACAAATCATTTTGCAAAGTATCAAAGCCAGGATTCTTTGGACTGGTGAATAATACTAAGATTTTCTTGATAAATGTGTTATACAATACAGTTCTGGAATACTTCTGTAATATAATAGTATACCTAAAGTTTCAAGGATTGTACTAGTAGTTTATTTGTTTTCCCAGTGACAAAACAGGGCTTAGATTAAGTAGGCAACATGGCTAAAAATAAGACAAGAGTTGAAAAAGTATAAAAAATTAAGCCCAAATCAGGGCAGTTATTATTGTTGTTGCACAGCTATATTAGTATTTACATAGTACTTAGTACTTGTATTGACACTGTCATTTCTAAGATCACGAGACCTGAGTCAGTAACTATGTTGAATGGTTTTAGAGTCTCAGTTTATCCTAGCCTCCCACTGTGCCTCTCAACCTATATAGCACTCAATTATGTTTGAACTTACCATTTTCACTCTTTCTTCTTTTGGTCTAGAAACTTCTTAAAGGTCAAAACTATGTAGTTTGCTTTTCTTGTAATCCCCCATATCAAGGATGATAACATATAAGATATTAAAATTGATAACTACCCTAGATGACCTTAAGATACCCAGTCTAGGTCTATTCATTTATATTCACAATTCCTACATTCAGGACAGCTCACAAGATTTCTCCATTCTCAGAAAAGTCACAATGGGTAATGTAATGGGAGTTTTCATTTCATTTATTAATATTATTTAATTCACAGTCAGATCCTTTGGCAGAATTAAGGTGATTATCAATAGGATTCATTGTATACTTCAATACCACCTGAATTTGTCCAACTGACCCTTAAGGCTTCATATTATATTCTGTGTATCCATTCTTTTGGGTGCATTTAAGCCCTCATTAGCCACGCTAGGGTTTTGCAATGTATACCTTGCAATTTTCGCTTTAGATTTCAATTTGAGAGTCAGGTTATATAAACAACACATTTCTATCTTAATGAAAGGGTATTAACTATCTTGAAAGTTCCCCTCTTCTCCCCAGAATAGTTTTACAAACATAGTCGTTTCCTTATTAACAGAATAACCTGTATAGCCTTCTTTATCATTTTATGACTATCAGTTTATAAATAAAGGAGATAGAAATTGACCTGGGAGTTTCATAAACAAGTTCTGAGCACCTAGGATTAATTTTGAGAAGAATGCCACAAGCCAAATAAGCATTTCTTTTCATCTCATTTCACAGGCCTTCAAGAGGGAATTGAAAACTAAAGAACCTGTAATCATGAGTACTCTTGAGACTGTACGAATATTTCTGACAGAGCAGCCTTTGGAAGGACTAGAGAAACTCTACCAGGAGCCCAGAGGTAATTGAATGTGGAACTGTAATAACATATTGATAGAAGGATCACTGGTGAGAGAGCGGCCCATTCATTCTTGCTGCCAGGGTCTGGATGGCTCTCATATTTTCTAGGTTAAGTAGAATCGATTCAAAGTAAACATAGATGTTGAAAAAGTATAAGGAACCATAAACCACCATGCACAGGTCTGTTTGCACATTCATAAATAAACATGAAAAGAGATTGGCAATCAGTTATTGGAACATTTAGAAAATAATAAAGGAGTTTATCTGTGAGGAGGAATTCCACTGTTACAAAGACTACAAGCTAATTTTCGGTTAAAAAGCCTGACTGGAGTAAATTAGAGCTTATGGTGTACATCTTCACATTTTTCTCCTCAATAGCTTAAACGAATCTAGGATTATCTGATTGATACACAGGAGAGCACATTCACTCAGGAAGATACACTTTGGGTGTGCTGGACTGTATCAGAATTTATGCCAAAGTGTAAAAGAGCCATTAATCAGTAGATCGGCCTCTTGTTGTTAAACTACCCTCTTTCTTCCTCCAGTATGACCTTTTCAACAATGTTTCTTTAAAAAAAAAATGAATGTGGCCTAAAACCTTGTCATATTGCCAATTTAGAGCTGCCTCCTGAGGAAAGAGCCCAGAATGTCACTCGACTCCTGCGAAAACAGGCTGAGGAGGTCAACACTGAGTGGGAAAAATTGAACCTGCACTCCACAGACTGGCAGAGGAAAATAGATGAAGCCCTAGAAAAACTCCAGGAACTTCAGGAGGCAACAGATGAGCTAGATCTCAAGCTACGCCAAGCTGAGGTGATCAAGGGAGCCTGGCAGCCTGTGGGCGATCTCCTCATCGACTCTCTCCAAGATCACCTCGAAAAAGTCAAGGTACTGTCTACTACTTTGCTTCAGGGCCCTTTATGCAACTCAAAAGAGGTTCTAGTCTGAATTTCAGTTCAGCATTTTCTTCCCACCGAGTTAAAAATGGTGTTCTTAAGCAACAGGAATCCATCCATCTTTAATCAATCCAAAGTCTTCATCACATGATATTTTCTCAAAGAGAAGACAGTGATCAAATCACCTGTGTGTTTTGATGATGTGAAATGAAATATTAAAAAGCTACAGGGCAAAAGAAATCATTTTGATTTTCTTATTAGGAAATTAAGTGTGCAAACATATTCTTATTTATATGTCTGCACACACATGAAAGTATTCTTTGTGTTAATTAGTATCAAATTAGCAAAAAATACAACTCTTAATAATGATTAAGGAATCTAGATTTAAGCCTTTTGCTAGCCTTTTGTGGCCTAGGTAAGTTATGGAATTGTGGAATGAGAATGATAACCCTGTCCTTCCATTAGACGGCAGTGTATGTATTGCATTTTGAGTTGTGTTAGCCTACTGTAGGCATGAAGAAAAATCATTATATATGAGAGAGCTTCAAAAAGTTTGTGGAAAAGCCAGCAGGTGATGTAGTGGTTAAGGTGCTAGACTCCCACATGGCTCACTGTGGTTCAAGTCCCAGATCCAGTGGCTTCAGACTCATGCTAGGTATGTGTGCATGCATGCCCAAATCCCAGGAGGACGATGGAAGAGAAGGGGTTGTGGCATACCCATATCTCCTGTGGGTGATTTCTCACTTTCCCTCTCTCTATTTCTCTCTGTCTCTCTGGCAAGTGTATATTCTCTGTGGCCAAAACCTTTAAAAGAAAGTTTGTGGAAAATGGAATTAAAAGATAGTACAATTTGTCTATGAACTTTATGAAGTCCCCTCATGTTTGCATTATGTAATGTCTATGAAACCAAACTTAAATTTCCCCATGGCACAAACATGGTAAATAGATTTAAAAGAAGAATATACATGTCCAAGAGTATCATTTTCAAATCAGCAACCTGCAACCTCTTTTGTATACCCATCTAGTATCAAAATCACAAAAGTTCTCTCAGATTTTAAATTCAAAAAAAGTTAAATTCTCTCATGTCTTTGGCATGCTTGCCAATGCCCTCATTCTGGAAATTTTCTTCTTCCTTGGCTTTCAGAGAACACTGTTTGGCCTGCATTCTTTTTCTTCCTTTATTTTCCTAAATTCTTAACTTCTATTCTCTCAGTTGTTGCATGTCCAGGTGTCTAACCTTAGCCCAATTCTCATTTTCTTTTTTAAATGCTCCTGGCTTGGAACAGCATAGATGTTAATGAATCTGAATCTCTAGTCTATATCTCTAGACAGATCTTCTAAATCCACATAGCACTAGAATCACAAGTGCAACTATTCTGATACCAAATTCGTTTATTCTGCTTTTCCACCCCCAATCACTATCCATCTCTACTTGCCCTTTTTTTTGTGTTCCCTAGTTCAGTTAATCAATCATAATCCAACAAGTTTCCAAGGCTAGATACTTTAGGTTCATCCTTAAACCCCTCTATATTTTTATTGGCTGCATGTGATTGCTCATTGTCTCTTAAAATGTCTTTTATGTTTTCTCTCTTCTTTTAAGGCAATGCCCTGACCTAAACTAAGCCCTGGCATCATTTATTTAGAATTATAGCAGTTTTACATCTTTAAATCCCACTCCCTAGTCAGTATAACTGGTGTATCATAAACACTACATTATAAGTATATTGTTAATGAATGAATGAATATTTCTTTACTGACAAATCTACATTATCCAGCTTCTTCCAACTCCAGTCCAAATTCCTTGCAGGAGTATGCCTGCCTAGAGAATGAAGTCTAACAAATGAAGAGAGTAGGTGACCCTATTCCTCCTATCCCTGGTTTAGCCTCTCAACTGTAGCTCCTATCCTCCAGGCCATTCATACCATGTCACCTCTTTTACCAAAATATGCCATCTTTTTTTCATAACAACCTGTCTTTGAGCATTCTCTTTTTTTGCCATCTGGATCACCCTACCTTATCTGTTGGTGAACTCCATCAAGTCCCAAGATAAATGTTGCCTGTCTCTATAGATTTCCCTGAGTTTCTACCACCCCCAAATGCCACGAAGCAGAAGAAACTGCTCCCAATTCAGTGCTCTCATGCTTACATTATCACATTCAAATGTCATATATTAGGTCGTCAGAAGAGTCATGATGCATTTTTGCATAGAAAAATGTCTTGACTTTTCCAACAACCCAATATATTATAGCAACGTGCTTTTTTTTTTTTCTCCCAGAGAAAGTGAGGTTCCTAAGAGCAAGGATCATAATGTACATCTTTGAATTCCCAGCTCTTAGCACAGTGCCAGGAACATATTAGAAATCTCATTAAGTTTTTATTTATTTATTCATTCAACAACTGTTTATGAGCCACTATGCAATATGCTAGATATAATATGGGAGCAGACTACTTGAAGCCTACAGTCTAAAGTTGAATTGACTAGCTCTTCATGAAAATAGTAGGTGAGACCTAGTTGTGGAGCTATGTGCTACTAAAGCACTATGCTACAAAAGGCTGGGACCACATGGGAGGCCTCAGGTCATTTCCTGGTCCAACCTAAAGGTTAGGTGTGGTGGCTCATGCCTGTAGTCTTAGCAACTTGGGAGGCTGAGGAGGGAAAATCACGAGCTCCAGGCTGGCTTAATAATATAGTAAGAATGCACATGGTAGCCCATGCCCATAGGTCCAACTGAACTATAAGCTGAGGCAGGAGAATTGCATCAATGCAAGACCTTGTCATTAAAAAGCAGTCATAAGTCAGGACCACCAGACAGCATAATGGTTATGTCACTGGACTCCCATGTAGTTACTATGGTCAAGTCCTGGACCTGGCAGCTTAAAACTCATGCCAGGCATGTGTGCATATGTGCGCAAAATCCCGAGAAGAAAATGGAGAAGGGATTGTGGCATAGCCATCTCCCCTGGGGGGTGAGTTCCTTTTTTCTGTCTCTCTGGCTAGCACACACACTCTATAGCAAAAAAATCCCTCTAAAAAATAAAATAAAATAAAATAAAAAATAATTGTAAGTTGGACCAAAATGTGGCATTAGTGGTTACAGTACCAGACTCCCACATGGCCAAGCACAGTTCAAGTCCCAGATCTGGTGGCCTGAGGATCACACCAGGTGTGTGTGTGTGTGTGCATCTCCAGAAACCTAAGAGGAGAATGAAAGAGAAGGGATTGCAGCATGGCCATCCTTCCTGGAAATAATTTTTCACTTTCTCTCTCTGTCTCTCTGGTGAGCGCACATGCCCTGCGGCAAAAGCCTAAAAAAGTAATAATCATAGTCATAAGTGAGGTTTTTTTTTTACTTAAGATTAAAATTTTGACTCTGTTGCTTCTAAAATCCCTTCTACCCAGCATTGTATGACCCCCATGCCTAATATTTATACCAATGATTTATGTTGCTCTCTATTTGAAAAAGAAAATAATGTTTTGAAATGTAATAAATCACAGTATTTTCAGAAATACAAATATCAATATTTTTGAAGTCTTCTCCAAAAATGAGGCACAATTTTAGGACATGACCCAAAGGAACAAAATTAGTTAATAAATCAATTAAGTTACCAAATATATGGACTATCGATTAAACATATGGGATTCATTTTTAGCCATATTTGTCATTCAGGAGCATCAGTAGGATACTGAGTCCAGTAGACAAAGAATGTATGCCCAATATTTTAATCATCAAAAAAAACTCAAAGTGGAACATTTCAAACAACCTTCACCTAACACTATTTGCAGTGTTCCTTTCAGTTTTCCTGTCATAACTCTTCTTGATCTTAAGACAAACTTTATTGCCTCTATCCTAATTTGTAAGGCTCTTATTATGATCCCAATAATAGCAAAACCTATAAGCATTAAATATACCTTATGAAAAGAACTTACACATACCAACATGTGTTTCTTACAAGTAGATGCATGTAAGTTACAGTACTTATGTGAATATGTATGTACTGATGATAACAGATGTGATAGTTTGGGTTTATAAACAGGATTGTTTAAAATATTTATGCATATTTCAAAATTGTGAATTATACAAATTCATATATATTTATTTTTCTTCTGTAGCTATTTAATTTGGTGGCAGAAATAAATAGCTTTTCTCCACTGCATTTCTCAACACTGGAATTGAAACTCTGAAGCTTTGGTGCTGATAGTTTACAAGGAGTGAATAGTATTAACTAAAACTTATATCTAGAAATGTACAAGTGTACTTAAAAACCACTGTTTCCATTTTTATACATAGCAATTTAAGCCCTTGGAGGCTCCAAGCTATAGGCAAGTCCAGACTGATACTGAAGCAGCTATCCAGAAGAATATTTTATATACCCATGTTACTTCATTTCATCACCCCTAGTGACTCTAGCATAATACCCCATTCCATTCTGATCTTATATGTTAAAGAAGTTTTCATTCAAGTGACTGTGGAATATAGATTTTTGTGGAATTTAGCATTATATCAATTCAGTAGTAAATTTGGTTTTTAGATGAAGAGAATGAATAAAACAACTTAAACCCTGAACTCTCTGAAAATGGCATTATTACTAGCTGATCATCTTCAGGATGGTAGATACGGTAAATCACAAGAAAGAAGCATAATGTTAATATTGACTATTTTGTTCACTAAGAGATTCAACCTTCCAAATATAGCTTCCATAGGGATAACCACTAGAATACAATTTAAATTTTAAATGCTCTTTTACTTTTAATATTCACAATTTATATTGCTTTTCAAATATTTTTAGAACAGAATTCTGATTCCTCTCTTTACTGGTAATAACACCAATGCTTATTTTACTATACAAATTTTCTACTTTCCTTGTAATGGGGAATAAGAATAACTCTTTGAATGACTATGTGCTCTACATAGATCTATAAGTGGAATATTTAAAGGCTTTAATAAAGTAAAATCTAAAGTGTGCACATGGCATTTTTATTCATAAGAACAA